GAAAGCTGTTACGGTCACAGGCATGGGTGGCCATGTCTATTTTTTTTTTTAACTTTATCTGCATTGTGTTTTGTTTTGCCATGGATGTCAGATCTCCTGGAACTGGAGTTAGACAGTTGTGAGCTGCCGTGTGGGTGCTGGGAATTGAACCCGGGTCCTCCTGAAGAGCAGTCAGTGCATTTAACCACTGAGCCATGTCTCCAATCCCCCTAGCTTTTTTTTTTGTCTAATAGGAGTGTTGGAGATTTCAACCCAGGTCTCCTTGCTTTCACAGCGAATGCTCTTATGCACTGAGCCTTTTCCCTAGAACCCCAAGAGACGCCTTATGATCCAAGTACACCCCATTGTGACACCAGGCACGAAAGTCTTTATTGTTTCTCTGATACCGTAGGTAAATAGTTTCCTGTTTCGAGCTCCTGCCATGATATGATGCTCCTCCTCCAGATGCCCCAAACAGCACAACAAACCATGGATTTAAACCTCCCTCTTCCTTCTCCTCCTCCTCTTTTTCTCTTTTGAGACAGGGTCTTGCTATATACATACTATGTAAGCCAGATTGGCCTGGAATCCAAAGCAATCCTCCTGTCTCGGCCTCCCATTTTGGAATTATGTGAACACCATCACCTCTGGCAACCTTCTCTTTTTTTAAATTGGGTCAGACATTTTGTAATAGAAGCTGAAAACTAACACAAGAGTATAATGTTCCCGTTTTATTTCTGTGTTCTCTACATGGCCAACACCTCTTCCCTGAAGGAATGGGTTCAGTTGGTTTTATACTTGTCATATTTCATTCCTGTTGTGTTGATTAAATAGTTCTGTGGTTGTTTTTCAAGACAGAGTTTCTCTGTGTAACAGCCCTGGCCATCTGTAGACCAGGCTGGCCTTAACTTCACAGAGATTCACCTGCCTCTGCCTCCCAAGTGCTGGGATTAAAGGCATGTGCCACCACTACTTGAAAAATAGATTATTTATTTTCATTGGTAGTGTTTTTTTGAGACAGGATCTTATGCATCCCAGGTTGGCCTCCAAATCAGTATGTAACTGAGGGTGACCTTGAACTTCTTCAAAAATTTCACTTAATTGATTTAATGCTGTGTGTGTGTGTGTGTGTGTGTGTGTGTGTGTGTGTGTGTTTACAAAGGCATGGAAGTCAGAAGACTTTTTGCTTTTACTTGTTTTTCTGAGACTAGGCTCTTCTGTGTATCCCTGGCTGGCCTATACCTCATTGTATAAACCTGGCTGGCACCAGGTGATAAACCTTTAATCCCAGCACTCGGGAGGCAGAGGCAGGCAATCTCTGCTAATTTGAGCCCAGCCTGGTCTACAGAAATAGTTCCAGGACAGCCAGAGCTGTTACTCAGAGAAACTGTCTCAAAAAACAAACAAACAAAAAAATGGGGTGGGATGGGGTGTCGGCTGCTGGAGAGATGGCTCAGTGGTTAACAACACTGGCTGCTCTTCCAGAGGACTCAGGTTCAATATCCAGCATCCACATGGCAGCTCACAACTGTCTGTAACTCCAGTTCCAGGGACTCTGACACCATTACAGCAATGCGCACAAAATAAAATGAAATAGTTTACAAAATACTTCATTTGAATGAGTGTCAAATTGGTTTTTTGTGTTTTGTTTCATGTACCTAAGGCTGGCCCCAGATTTGCTATACAGCCAAGGATGGTCTTAGACCCCTGTTTATGCTTCACTAACCAAGTGCTGGGGTTACAGCTGTGTGTCACCAGGCCCAATTTGGTCTTTAAAAAAAAAAAAAAAAAAAAAAAAAAACAGTAGTCCAGGCTGATCTTGAACTTACGGTTTCTTCTTTGTCTTGGCTTCTTAGATGCTGGAACTATAGCTGTGAGTCACCACAGCTGTCCACTTTTTATTTCTGTAGGTACATATGTGAGTGGATGGTATATGCACACATGTATGTGGAGGTATGCACACCTGTAAATGGCAGATGCCGGAGGATGCCCAATATCCTGTTCTACTGCTCTGTGCCTTATTTCCCTAAGACATTGTCTCTCGTTGAATCTGGAGCTAGGCTGACAAGCAGCAACCTCCAGCAGTCATGCTGTCTTTGCTTTCTTGACAGTGCTGGCATCATCGACGTGCACCACCATGACCAGCTTTTTACATGCGTTTTGGGGCTTTGAACTCAGGTCCTTATGCTTACCTAGAAGTAATTTTACCCATTGAGTCATCTCCCAAGCCATGCTGTTTTTTTTTTTTTTTTTTTTTAATGTGTTGATGTTCAAACTCTTTTTTTCTGAAATGTTATATTAGGTTCTATCAAATCTTTGCTGATAAAATGCAGTTCTCAGGCTTCCGCACTGAGGTAGGGAATTTGAGTGTCTGGAGGAAATGATTCAGAGATGCTCTCTTTAGCCTACCTCCAAGATCATCTAAGGCAGGTGGCACTCTGAGCAGTTTACCATGTAGCAGAAGTGTCCAAACACAGTTCCATCATTCATATTCTGGTAGTTTCTAGCATCCAGACATTCTTCTTCCAAAGGTAGGCTCCGTGTCTGTCACCTCCCCTTAGAACTGAGTAGGGTTTTTGTTGACCAGTGGATTTTGATGCTAGGATGCCATTGGCTTTAACTGTTAAGAAGGTATCGGCTTCCACTTTTGCATACCAGAATTGCCTGCTCTCTTGTAGCTCAGCCACCTGGTCTTGGGGGTATTCAAGAAACCCACTTAAGAGGAACTAACTACCAGCAGCAACTTGGCAGCACTGTGAGATGGCTGGGAATGGGCTTTTCTGGCCATCGTGAAGCTGTCCCAGCTGATAAAGCATGGAGCAGAGTTGGGTCTTCCTTGAGTAACCCAATGCATACTGTAGCTTTGCGTATTTCTAATCTTATGTTTGCTCTATCTTCCTGCAAGGGTCAACTCTCTCATGCTTTTCTAAAATCTTCTGAAGATCTCTTTGGGTCATCTCCTTTCTGGGGTTTTTTAAGCATAGAACCAACCATCCCAGATTTCTGGTTCCTTATAATTCTTGATTTCCAGTTGTCACTACTTTTCATCTAAAAGCTGGGGGACGATGTGGGCTGGAGAGATGCTCAGCAGTTAAGAGCTTTGGCTGCTCTTCCAGAGGTCCTGGGGTTTGCTTCTCAGTACCCACCCACATGGTGGCTCACAACTGGGGTCTACAACTCCAGTCCCAGGGGATCTGATGTGATCTGCTTCCATGAGCGTCAGTAGCCTTCACTGTGGTGCGTGCGCGCGCGCACACACACACACACACACACACACACACACACACACACACACACAGACACAGTATCCATACACATAAGTTAAAATTGTTTTTGCTAGGTGTTGGTGGCAAATGTGGGGACTGTATTGACTTCATTGATTTTTTGGACACCTACTTTAATTGTGGGTGTGACCTGGGCTGTATAAGTGCTAGCTCCCAAAATTCCTGATTGTGTATTCCATGTGACCAGCTGTCTTAACTGCTGTGACTATCTCCTTATAAGGGACTGTAATATTTGAGCTGAAATGAACACCTTTTCCTTTAAGTTGCCTTCATGGGGTATTATGGTAATATTTGGTTTATGATCTAATAAAGCTGGCCTGAAGATCAGAGTGCAAAGCTAGCCACAGCCATAGAGGCCAGGCAGTGGTGGCCACACCTTTAATCCCAGCACTCAAGAGACAGAGGCAGATGGACCTCTGATGGGAGATGTACTCCTTACAGACCTCTGTGAGTCCACGGCCAGCCTGGGCTACATGAGATCGGATCAGTCTAAAAGAGAAACAGGGCTCGCACCTTTGATTCCAGCACTTGGTATGATATGCCTTTAATCCCAACACTATGGAAGTGGAGATAGGAGTTATATGCCTGGGCAGAGAGGGGACTGCAAGGCGGGAGGAGGCAGGAGTGCGTGGACTCAGAGGTTTGGTGGACAGCAGTGCAGGCTGAGGTTCAGGGGATCGCCACGCCACTTAGGTCTGGGTATCGGTGGAGGGTGACAACTCTCTAGTGGCCGGCCACTTTTTCTGATATTCAGTTTTAACCCCAGCATCTGTGTCTGAGTTATTATTATTACCAATGTCTCAGTTTTTATTATGAATATCAACTATTATTTGTGCCACAGGGTATTTTATCATAGCAACAGGAAAAGAAATGGTAACACCCAACAATCCCATTTGGAACCCTCCACTTTTAGGGCCTCCACTCTGAAGGTACTCCAATTCCTTAAGGGTTACTCTGAATTCTGTGATCCTCCAGGTGGACCATTCTAGTTAGGAAATACGGTCTCCATTACTCGGCTCAGCCTAAAGTGGTGGCAATGGTCTATAATCCTCAGGGGGCTGAGGAAGAAAAATCAAGGGTTCCCAGGTAGCTCAAGGGTACAGTACATAGAACTCCAGGCCAGACCAGGTTACATAGCGAGCCATTTCTCAGAAAAGCCAATAAACCCAAAGGATAAAAATCCTGCTAGGCCTAGGCATTTAGGGGCATTACTTTTGCCTCCTCCCCTGCTTGTTGCAAATTCTGTTTTTTTTTTTTTGGAAGGGGTCAGAGAGACCCCCCTCTTTTTTGTTTGCTTATCAAAACAGGGTTTCTCTGTGTAGCCTTGGAGCCTGTCCTGGACCTAGCTCCGTAGACCAGGCTGGCCTTGAACGCAGAGACGCTCTCGCCTCCGCCTTCTGAGTGCTAGGGTTAAAGGCATGCGCCACCTCCGCCGGGCGAGGAGCACCCCCCCCGCATTTTTTTATTTTTAATGTGAAATCAAAACATTTAGAATTATGTGTTAGGGCCTTGATAACCAGTTTCACGGTTAGAAGCTTTGCCATCGAGTTCCGGCCTGCCTCTTGCTCCGGCAGACGGAAAACCGCAGCAGCGTCAGCCGGCCGCGCCGTGCGGGAGGGAGCGCTGAATGAACAAACGGAACGAATGAATGAATGGGCTGCGTCGGGGGCCGGGCCTTTGTTACGTCGCCCCCGGGCGCAGGCGTGGTCGGTCGCACGTACGCCGCTGGTGGACGACGGACACCCGGCGTCGCGCAGATTCTGCCGCGGGCGAAAAGGCTCGCCTCTGCCTCGCGCCGCCTCCCCCAAGTCCCTGCCCCGCCGCGGAGCGTCACTTCCGCCACCCCGGGCTGGGGTTGGGGCGGGGAGTGCGGGGGAGGGGGCCGTCAGGTCGGACGGAAGGCCGCCCGAAGCCCGCGCCCAAGCCGGGACTACATTTCCCGAGGGGCCTCGGCGGAGGCGGCGGCGGCGGCGGGCGCGGCGACGTCCCCCGGAAGTGGAGTCCGGGACTTCCACTCGTGCGTGAGGCGAGCGGAGCCGGAGACAAGAGCAGAGGCCGAACTCGGGATCTGACAAGATGGCCGGGCTGCCCCGCAGGATCATCAAGGTAACCGCCCAGGCGGGCTTCGGGCCTCTCGCTCGGCTGGCTCCCCGCCGCCAGCGCGCCAGGCCGTGCGGCCATCCGCTCCCCGCGGCAGCCGCCGAGCGGCCCGAGGCACCGCGGAGAAGGGTCTGGCCTCGGCGGCGAGGAAGTCGGGCGCTGAGGAGGGGGCGCCGCGGAGACTTCCGGCCGCCGCTGGAAGCCGGGCGCCGGGGGCTGTCGGGCCGCGGGGCCGCGGCAGCGGAGGGGAGGCCAGGCCGGTGCCGGGTGCCGGGTGGAGGGCGGGGCGGCGGGCTCCGCGTCCGGCGCGGGCCTCGGCTGCCTTTCTTCGCCCCGCGGGCGGGAACCGCGCCGCGGCCCGCACTGCCGGCGTGGGTTGTGGCCGGGACTGGCCGCTTGGGCCCGGAGCCCCCTTCTCTCGGTCGGCGGCCCCGGGTGCGGAATGAATGAACGGGCCCCGAGGACCGGGCGGGGCCGCGGGCCGCGAGAGGCGGCTCCGGGAGGGCCGCGCGTCCCGCCGCCGGCCGCACATGCTGGTCCCGGCTGCCCGCACTCGGCCACGCCGCGGCCCTCCGTGGTCGCTGCCCCGCGTTGCTGCCGGTTGGTTATCACTGCGAAGTGATTTTTCTCCGGTTGGCAAACTCTTTTATTTTATTTTTTACTTATCTTTTGCCAACTGTTCCGAGGTGTCTGGAGGGCCTCGGTTTTGGGGGGTGATCTGTGATAGTTCGCCTCCCGGTTTTCGTGCGCCTTACATACCGAGCGGTCCTCTTCTGGAATACTGTGTGTTGAAAAGCACCCATGGGACCGTGAAAAAAACCCTATAATGATTTCCTAAAGTCTTTACATAACCGTTGAGTCTTGACACGATAGGTATTGTAATCCAACGAAAGTAGATTTTATATATATATATATATATATATATATACACACACACACATGCATACATATATATATATATATACACACATATGTATAGTGCATCTGTTTTTTGTGAAGGATATTTAGCTAAAAATCTGCACTGCTCAACATGCCAGGGAAATGCCCAAATTTGAAGCCTTGTTTTGCTTGCTGTAATCTAGTGAGCTTGAATTTACAGCAGTGTTAACTCTGCTGATGTTTTGGGCGAAATTTGTGTTAATTAAATAATTGAGGGCCTCTGTGAAAGATGGGATGCACCTCAGGCAGTCACAAATGGGTGTGAGGTTGGGTGTGGAGAGAAAGGTGCTTAAATTAGAAAACAAGAGCATTTATAGGACAAACATTCTTAGGAAGAAAGAATAAATTGTCAGTGAGCACTGGAGTCTTGACATAAAACTTTTACTGCTATATTATGAATCTCAGATTCTCTCAAAGTCGATTTTCATTGTTAGGTCTGGCATTGGAAGGTCTTCACTGATACAGACACATGAACACTAGTGATTGAAAAATGATTGCATCCCACCAGACCATTGAGTTTTTATTTATTTTTACTTTGGTTATGGACTAAACTTAGCACAGATTGATAATAAATAGAATTTTCTAAAATTTACAGTGAACTTAACAGTTGGTGTTATTTTTCAGTTTTGCTTGGTTCTGAAGATTAATATTCTGTAGTAATATAAAAGTCTTGGGGAAATAATTCTGTGGAATATTGGTTATGAATATACAGAAATGGTTTAAAATAGAAAGTTGAAGAGCTCTTTGTTCAATTCATTTGGTACACAATGCTTAAGCATATATTCAGTGTTGCCATTTTACTATTTTATAACAAGTTAGTGGTAAACTTGTGCTGCAACATATAATCTTTACAGTATTTTATTGCAGGCACCTCTAATTTATGTACTGTTAGTTGACTTTACTACTTATAGCTTTAAAGGACCTTTTTTTTTTTCCTTTGATCACTAGGGCAGTTTAAGAGATTAGAATATTTTTTAGTGTTCATTTTTGTATTAATGTAGGTTTAATCAGTTAAAAATATTCTTTTTCTAGTGTTAGGGATTGAATTGAAACTAGTTAGGTCTTTGTGCTCTGGAAATGCTTTACCACCAAGCAACACCCCAAGCAGAAAACATACTTACATTAAAATTTATTTTGAAAAGTAACTTTTGGGCCAGAGTTAGCTCAGGTGTGATGCTTACAAGCTTTCTGAGTTCTATCCTCAATATTGCACATAAACCACTCAAGGTATTGTATGTAAGTTTGTTTTGTTTTTTGTTTTTGTTTTTGTTTTGTTTTGTTTTTCTCCAAGACAGGTTTCTCTGTATTGCTTTGGTGTCTATCCTGGAACTTGATCTGTATGTAGACCAGGCTGGCCTAGAACTCAAAGAGATCCACCTATCTCTTCCTCCAGAGTGCTGGGATTAAGCGTGCGCCACCAGTGCCCAGTGGTGGTATATTTCCTGAGACAGTGGTTCACTACAGCCCTGGCTGGCCTGGAACTCAAATTTGCCTGACTCTGCCTCCAGTGCTGGGATTAAAGATGTGTGCCACCACACCTGTCATGGTGTTTTATACTCACACTTATAATTCCAGTGTGGTAGAGGCAGGGAGGGTTTAGAAGTTGATCATCCTTGGCTGCTTAGGGGGTTGTTTATTTCAAACACATTACTACAATACAGGGGTTTGTGTCATTGGAACAGTGAATGGGTAGGGGTAGCTGAGGCCATAGGAACATACTTTCTTCTATTGGATTATTTTATTTCTTGGTAGCCTTTGGCTTTCAAAGGAAAAGATTGCTATTACTAATAGCCCTTTTTAATTTATTTTATTTTTGAGACAATAACTCCATGTAACTTCTGTTGGCCTCAAACTCAGAGATCTTCCTGGATCTGCCTTCCTGTTTTGGAATTAAAAGTATTTAGGACACTATACCTGGCAATATTCTCATCTCACAAAATTCCTGTTTTGGAATTAAAAGTATTTAGGACAGTATACCTGGCAATATTACTCTTCTCATCTCACAAATACTAAGTAGTTTGATTTAGACAATTTGGTTTGGGCAGTTATTAATATGGTGCTTTCTACCTCTTGATGGCCATTGTATTTGTATATTTCTAAAGCCATTTGTTTCTTGATGACACTTTGAACTAGATAAAGTGTTTCACACCTAGTGACAGATTCAAATGGCTTTCCCATGATCCTAAAACTGGAAGTGTGACCTTTCCATCTCTTATTTGGAAGTGACATAAGGTATGTACAAATACCTTGATAGCGCGCTGGAGAGATGGCTCAGCCGTTAAAGGCTAGGCTCACAACCAAAAACAGATACCTTGATAGCAATAAAGTGCAAGGTATCCCTGTAGTGAGATAACCATTCCAGTGAACCTGTTGCACTGAATACTCCCATTGGGGCGTGGGGACAGGTGTGGCCTGGGGGGGACTAGGTCTGGGGCCCTGGACCCCAGCTCACTCTCTTACCTTCTGGCTGGAGACAAAGATCTGGAGGCATCTTTGGAACGGGAACTTGCAGTGGTCATCTGTTTGTGGTGTTAGTGATTTCTCCCTGAATTAACATCCATCAGCCAATACTGTGTCCCAGAATCTTATTTCTCATGAGATATACCTCCCCCCTTCACTTTAGACAGGGTCTCTGTGTAGCCTTTGCTGGCCTGATTGCTGGGATTAAAGGCTTGGGCCACCATACCCAGATGAGATGACTTTTTGATACTGTTCACTCAGTGGCAATCTCTCAGATTCCTGTGTTCGATCCATTAGAAATTCTGTAGGCTCTACTTTCTTTCTATGTTAGGCATACTTTTCCCATGTGTCTGAAGCCCCTGGTCAAGTCTGTGTTTGTTGCATTAACATTTCGAAAAACTACAGTGGTTTCTCATCACATGTTAAAATCAACATCTTGACAAACCACCCCAGCTACAAAGGCCTTCATACATCTGGGATCAGCTCATCTGAACTTCCATTGTGTTGCCTTTGCTCTCCCTTGGATACTGAATGGTTAAGGTTATTCAGTCATGGGGTAATGTATTGTGTTCTTCTCTTGGAAGTCCTGTCCTTAGAAAGGGCTACCTTAATTTTAATTTGTTTCTATATCCCCATAATCCCCTCTTTTTTTGTGTGTAGCGCTTAACTCTTCTTAAAGCTGTATTATGACTTTGGGTGATTCCTGGCTGGCATTGCTTCTTAATGTCAAGAGAAACTTTGGCAAATATATGATAGATACTGCAATACTATTTGATATAGTAAATGAGATTTATTTGTAAAAAGTTCTTTTGTTTTTTGAGATAGAGTTTCTGTGTGTAGCTTTTGAATTTGTCCTGGAACTCACTGTAGACCAGGCTGGCCATCACCAAGTAGATAGCGCCATATTAATAACCACTGCCTAGCTTTTTTTTTTTCTTCATAAAACGTTTACAGGAGCTGTGATTGTATACTTTGACTTGATATTGTTGCTGTGTTTAGTAGTGTTCATTTGAACCAGCAGTTTCTGAAGAGATTTTTTTCTCTATATACACATGATTTCATGTGAACCAGGCTGGCTTCAAGGCTGAGGGTGGCCTTGAGCTTGTGTCCCTGTGTCCAGGCGCCACTGCCTAGTTTGATGTAGTGCTGAGTATTGGACAGGGCTCCCATGGTAGGCGAGCAGTCTGCCGACTGTCCTGTCCCGTGTCCCCCAAACTCATCAAGAAAACAAGACCAAGCTCTACAGGGTGCAGACAGGGTTAAGAGTCGCACATTTGGCCTTCACTACCGACACCAGTGTTTCATTGTGTCTTGTCAGAAAGACCACAGTAATTCAGCTTCTTCCCTACTCATGCAAATACTTGATATCCTCTCCACCCACCTGGCCAACCATTTCCCTTCAAGGTGACTCACTTTTTATAGAGCTGCCTTTTAGGATTTTAATTAATTGTTTGTTGATAGCTTTTAAATTGTGTCTTGCTTCAGCCTCTAGAGTGCTTGGATTATAGAGTGTAGACCACCACATCATTTGGCATTAGAATTTTTCTCAGTTCAAAGCTACACAAAGGCCTCTCAAGTGAGAGATTTATTTATTATAAAGAAGAACT